TTAATTTTCTTTATATTTTGTATGAGTATTGATTGTTTTAATTCCCTTGAGCCTCTGAAAATCCAAAATGTAATCTGTGTGTTGATTGAACTCAAGAGGAAAGTGTCCTGAAATAGGCCTTTGACAATTAATTAGTTATATGATAAATTACAACAGGGAATAAATGGTCTTGGCTATACAGGATCAAGATTTTTGTGCATACACATGAGCTTTGTTTTTTTAAACTAATTCACAGTGTGATGATTTCTTTTGTCATTGTTTTATTTTAGGAGCTAGAATAAATGCCACATTGCAATCTATTAAAAATAAATAGAAGAAAAATGTAGTGCAAAACCTCATTAAACTGCAACACCCCTTTTGTTAATATTTTTTTAAATTTTGTCAAAGAATGGCACAAGAAAAATACATTACAAATCTGAGTCTGAATGTATAGCTTTAAGATTCTCTCTAATTGTTTTGTTGATTTTACCCACTAGATAAATTGAGGATACCCTGTAACAATTACCAGGTGGTGAGTAAACAAATCAACTAGCTTGCCTGAGCAGAAAACCATTTTCTATTCTGAAAAGGAAAGACGGTAGCTTCATTTTATTTCTAATGATTTTTAAGAAACAATTCAAATCTTAGTTTTTAGTCTAATTTCTGATTTTTGGAAGAGTTCCTAGAAAGGCCAGTGACTTTTAGCCCTGTTATCTTTCAGAAATGAATGCTGGTTATGTGTTTATTTGTTAGTGACTGTGATTCTTGTAGCATAAACAGGCAAAATATTCTTTTATATACAAGAGTCCATATACAAGGCAAGCAGCATAAAGGCATTTGACTGCATCCGTAACTAAGATAACATTAGCTGAAGAATACCACACTGGAGCCAGTGTGTGAGTCGTTTATTGGCATGAATTAGTTCACAGCACTCAACTTATCCTCCTGAGGAAAACACAACACTTAAGGTACGAGTACTACACAGGGAGTACTAAAAATAATAACCATTTAAATGCTGGAGAAATAAACTAAGGTACAATGTGATCAGTGAGATCATGCAGAGATTGTAAGAGTACATCTATGCACAAGGATAGTCGGGAGTAAATACACAATCAGTTTAGGCCTGATTTTTCAAAAATTACTGCTGCTTGGGTTGTCTCTGCATTTCTCACCTCCACTCAAAATATTTTCAAGTGTTGAGCACTATCCAAGCTGGGGTAATAAATTACCTTTCAAAATACTCACAGGATGAATTAGACCTGCGGTGGAGTAAATAAGTGGGCAGGTAAAAGGAAAAGCAAACCTTTTAATGAAAAGCTGGCTTTTCTTTTGGAATGCCCAGAGGAGAGAGAACTGATGAGTGTGACAGTAAACCCTCTGCCTAGTGAGAGCAAGATGCAGAGCACCATCACTCGAGGAAAGCATTGTACCTGGAGAATAGCGTCCTCATCATGGAGAATCCTGGTGATACAGGGGAACAGCGGAGGACCAGGTGTATCCTTAGGTCAGGCTCTTAAGGGAAGCAGCCTGCAGTCATTAGTTGATTGACCATGTGTTTTGCCAGGTATCACCAAATGCATGAGTGCTTGTTTAACATTTCAAAGGAGAGTGAGCAAAGAGAAGAGCAAGCTTTTTCCCCAGGTTTCAAGTGCCACATGGTGTTGCCAAGTCAGCACTGCTCTGGCTGTATGGAACTAAGAAGCCAGAGTTCAGCAGAGGAGGTGGTTCAAAGCAAGTGTAACTGCCTGAATGTTGGAAAATGTGCTGTATGTTGGAAAATGTGCTTCATAAAATGACTTAACGGTAGAGGTCATGTATCCAGCTGAAGCCACAACATGCCTGAAGAGTATTCAAGGACTGCAATAACATAGTATGGCTTCCTCGGTCATAGTAAAGGAGAATGGCATTCTGTGAAGATCGAGTGGAGAAAAGAAGTGCTGATAACCATTCTTACTGTGTGAAATATGGGAAACAAACAATATTTGAATCAGTAATATGTATGCTGCTTTTTTTGGTGATGTAACAAGTGGATGCAAAAGACTTCCCATTCATTAGTTGCAATGGAGCTCTGTGGCACACACTTAAAAATAAGCTGTTCTAATCTAAAACACTTATCTGAGTATTTGCCTAAAGATGATTGTATTTTGTTTTCACTCTAAGATAGATCTGCTTACTCATAAGTTCTTGCTTCATTTTTAATGAGGGTCAGCAATTAAAAATTAATAAGGTTTATTTAGAGAAAAAAGCCATTTCTGTGAGCCTCTGTGCTATTATGCTTATTGCACTATTTTTACTAGTAGGACCTTAGACAATTTTTACAAAGAAATTTCATTTGCTTTGTCAAATGATATCTTCTGTAAAATTAGACTAGAGTTCTTTGTTCCACAAGAATAAAATAACAGTTTTCTCTGAAGGTGATTTTCTCCAATTTTTTTCCTCTCAACCTTTCCCAATGTGCTTTTGAATTGGTACTTTCCCTGAATTATGTAAATTGCTTTTTCTCTCTACCTCAAAAGCATAATTTAATAGGAAGCAGAGGTCATAGATCAGTACATCTTGTTTGGCAAATTCTAAATCACAATAAGGATTTGCTTTATTAGGTTTTTTCTGAGTAAGATTTCCTTTTGATACTTGATCCTGTTAATGACTTTAAAATACACAGGAAAGTAAACTTTTCCTGCTCGATGCCTAAACTTATATGCTTAACTAACTAAAGTTCAATATGAGCTGTGGCTGTTCAGAACTTTCAAAAGTTTATTTTTCTTTTGTATCTGTGTTTGTAGATGCAAAGACAAGCAAAAACCTGCAGAGTGATCCGCAGTAGCAAAATGTGATTTTTAGGAATAGACCACATCCTGTACATAGCACTGTTGAGAAAGAGAGGTCAGTGCAAAGCAGCTGAGTAAGAGGAACAAGAAACAAATGACAGTGTTAGAAAATAAAAATAAAAGCTTCCACATAAATGAATATTCTTCTCTGTTAAAAACAACTATTAGGTTTTAAATTCCAAAGTGTCCGTACTTGACTGCGAATACCAAAACTTACCTGCATCCTGTAGACAAACTCAAATTCTAAGGCAAGCATAAAAAGTTATTCTTTTCCTTGAGTGAAAAATATTGCCCTTGTCTGTCTGGAATTCAATTTCAAATAATCGAGGTGCTTCCAGAGTGTTTCCAGTCACCTATTAAATGTGCTGGTGGCTGACAGGATCTAACTTGATTTCTCATTTCTAATAAATATGCTGAAGTGACAAAGTAGAAAACTGATGACTTGTGATATGGAAGTAGTCAGAAAAGAATGAGGGAAACAAGATCTAAGGGGACTTTTATGAAAGATTAAGTTGCATTTGCAACATGCCAATAAACGTAATTGTCTACCTGTTGGTTTCATATTGTTACTTGCCTTTTCTGTACTTCGAGAAGTAATTTTGTTCTCACAAAGCTTCACAAAAATGCAGCTTTGAGGAAAAAACTATTCCTCTGTGACCTGCTCCAAAGTCCACTGGACACAGGACTAGCAAAGATAGTCTGGGTTTCAGAGATTCGGTCCTTTGACACCACAGGCAATTCATGTCTAAGCTTTTCAGAAATAATACAGCTCTTTGACCATTTGTAAGTGAAAAAGAAATTGTTATTTGATGCTTTAGTGAGCAAAACCAGTATTAGTTCAAACTCAGCACTCTTGACTTCGTTGTTACATCAGGGACAGAATTGTGACATTGTTATTGAAAGTGAGTTCTTCAAAGAGTTTGTGTGTGTGCATATCTGTGTTTCTTTGCTAAGAATGCTCAATTTACCAATTTCAGTTTGCCAAATGTTTCTATTTCTGTCAGGGTGGGTTTTTTCAGTATTTCATTAAGTAGTTAGTTTTAATTCAAGACTCTTCTCTGTTTAATCCATCATCTCTGTTCAGGTTGCTGACACACTTCTCGCTCAACTTTAGCTCTGTGGTGGGTGCACAGAGTGTAGCAGAGGGTGTAACCTCACACAATGGGTACAACAGAGTCCTACACATCTGTTGTAGGACCTGGACTGAGACCACTAATTTTAAACCACCATGTTAACTCACTGCATTTGAAAACCATTGAAAAAATATTCCAAACTGGAGTCTCCTCGTGTTTTGTTGTTTGAGAAATAAGTTTTCAGAAATATCATGATTGACTCCTGGTAGTAAAGGAAGATGGTCACAAGGTTCAGAGACCTTGCAGAGCCTGGGGATGTGAGCTCAGTTCCCAGATTCCTTTAGAGACTTTGGGAATCTTCAGTTTCTGTGTTTAGTTCTCCAATCACAGTGAAGGTGATGATGATTCCTCCTTCAAATCTTGCCCCTTGATTTCAGTCTCTAGAGGGTAAGCTCTCAAGAGGTCTTTGCTGCTATTTGTTCATCTGTAACACAGAGCCCTTGTGTTACTTGGGGCCTCCGGAAATACTAACATATAAATGATTTTTAAATTATCTGCATGTAAACTGCACACACTGTTTATTAAATAACTATTAGGATAACAGAGATGAGCTTAACCAGAAGCTCACATGAATGCTGAGTTCTGTCCAAAACTTAATATAATTATAGTCTTTCCAGTGTGGGTGTAACTTTAATATTTGAAAATACATATATAGAGGATTTGGCTTGGGGGTTAGTCTTTTAATTTTTATTTTTAACCACACTGCTGTAGCCCCAAAAGACCATATATAGGAAATAATATGTTGCATGCAGAGAATTACCTTGTCTTTCCTCCTGTCCCACAGCAAGATCAATAAAAGCAGCATGACAGAATTAATTTTCAAGTCTATTAGTAGAGCTCTCTGTCCTAGAAATCGAACGCTCTGTTATGTTGAGCATCCACAGCTTGATAATTAAAAGAAAAACAAGGAAATTTTTCATTTATGGGGTCATTTTCCTTAGAGGCATGTAGCCAACTTGTAGCTTTTGCATTTTGAAGAGTTAAGCCTGGATATGTGGGCATTCTTTGTTTGCATTTCTCTTTGTAGGATGTGGCAAGCTGTATTAAACACAGCTAAGCAATGGATAAGTGTGACCTGAGAACAAAAGGAGCTCCAAGGTAAAGGATTTGGTTACAAATCTTAGTGCTGAGTATTTCATGGCTACATCCCTGGAGATATTTGAATCTCAGAATTTCTCAGAATCTCAACTTCTGCTTGGAAATGTAAGTCAAGTGCAGACTTGTAATGCACATCATGTTTTACTTTCCAGTATTATCCCCCACCATGGAGGTATTTGTTAGCTGAGCCTAACTTCTACTCAAGACAAAAAGGTTTGAAAAGCTTGATTTCTAGATTATTTTGTTATACATAAAATTGCTCAGGGAGTGATGTGGAACCCATTCAAATTAATGGTCTGATTTCCACAGGCTGCAACAGTCTGGGTGGGGGAAAAAAAAAAAAAAAAAAAAGTTAGACTTGAATTCATTTAAGGGGTAAAAAACCGTAGAGCACAAACATAATAGCTGTTTGGGATACAGAATCATCTAGGTTGGAAAAGACCTTGAAGATCGTCTAGTCCAACCCTTAATACGATGGTGAAGTCTCCTCTGAGGGCAGAGTACAACTGTTTACACGATTTAATCTAGTAATATCTTCATCACAGTGGAGGAAAAACGTGGAAAGCTGCAGGTTTAAAAAATTTTTTTTTCTTGTTGGCTATAGTGCCTCTGTCATCACTAATTTAGTGCCTTTTAAAAAAAAAAAAAAAAAGAAAAAAAGTGTTCTGCGTTATTGCTGATGCCTAAAAG